AAGAAACATTTTGGGCCACGGACTGTGAGCAAACGTGTCCACCCCTAGCAGTGGTTCATCTTGCGGGCTCAGTGAGAACCATAGTTGACACTGAGCGTTCTCTCGTGTTGCAAACAGGTCCATGGCCGCTTTGCTAAATTTCTGCCACGTCTGAGCCATCAGCTCTGGATGGAGGGTCCAGTCCCCGTGACGTGGACCGCCCCTGGACATCACATCCGCCTCCCTGTTCAGAACACTGGGGATGTACACTGCTCTTAGATGGAGAGCAGATTTTGGTGTGCCCAACATAGCAGCTGTCTCACAATGTGTAACATTTGGGCTGAGCGCGCACCCACCTGCCGGTTTATGTATGCAGCAGTCACTTGTTGTCTGTGTGAATCAACACACGTTGATTCCGTAGCACAGAGGCAAAGTGTTGAATCACATTCAAAACCGTGCGACACTACAAAAACATTTATATGAGCTGTTGTGTGGGGTGGCCACAGAGCCCCCACATCTCGAGACATGCATGTGCCTCTCCAACCTGACAGGAACGCATCTGTGAAGACTGACACGTGTGACGTAGGTCTACTGACGGGAACTCCCTCCGACAGAACAAGAGTGTTTCCCAGTGTTTCAGGTCGACTCTCACGGGGGGGGCACAGCGATCAACCGTCTCTTCTGCCTCACCGGGTCCACACGCAAACGAGCGGACCACCTCTGGAGGCATCACACCGTGTGAGCAGGCAACATGTCCTTAATAACTTCATGACGGAAACAGCTGTTATCACTCTGCCAGTTTCACGTGAGTTACACTGCTGCTACCTGTCTGGAAAAACGGGTCAGCAGAAACAGACCATCCAGATAAAACAGATTTCTCCTCCCTGCTCTGTGTAGTGGCTGCAGAGCCAAGTCGACGCATTTTGAATGGAAATGTCTCACAGTTGAAAATTGACAAATCTAAGATGGGTCTCATCCCTCCGGTCCGTTTTGGGACCAAGAAGTGACGAGAGTAGAACCCTGTGTTTTCCTCTCCTTCTGGAACCCTGGAAATTGCATTTTTTATCAGAATTTCCTGAACTTCCGCGTGGAAGGACGAGATCTGTTCTGGAGATGACAGAAACATCTCTAAAGTTCCTCCAAACGGGGGGTTTGAGCTGTAACTGCAGCGTGAATCCCCTGCTGATAAAATGGTTCATCCATCTGTCTAGAGTGCACGCTCGCTGCCACTCCATGTAACGTTAGGGAAGCGGGCACGCGTTTATGCTGTGTCACGTTATTTACCCACACCAATCCCCGCCGTCATGTGTACCGCACTCAGGCTGCAGGCTCACATCCATGCTGATGTGAGCTGGCGTGCGTTGAGGGAAGGCGCGTGCGCCCCTGAGCATGCAGAGCCATGGGTGAGGGCTGCTGCTGCCGTGGGGGCATGGCGCTATAGTGCCGCGCTCAGGCTGTGGTCTCACGTTCGTGCTGATGTGAGCTGGCGTGCAATGAGGGAAGGTGCGCGTGCCCCCGCGCATGTGGAACCATGTAGGTGAGGGCTGTTGCAGGGGCGCGGCGCTTCTGTGCTGCACTCAGACTGCGGGCTCACATCCGTGCTGATGTGAGCTGGCGTGCGCTGAGGGAAGGTGCGCATGCCCCTGAGCATGCGGAGCCGTGGGTCAAGGCTGTTACTCCCGTGGGGGTGCAGCGCTACTGTGCTGTGCTCAGGCTACGGGCTCACATCTGTGCTGATGTGAGCTGACGTGAGATGAGTGAAGGTGCGCGCACTCCTGAGCATGCGGAGCCGTGGGTGAGGGCTACTGCTGCCGCGAGGGGTGAGGCGTTACTGTGTCGTGCTCAGGCTGCGGCTCACATCCGTGCTGATGTGAGCTGGCGTGCACTGAGGAGGCAAAGCACAGCTTGGGCTGAGAGCGAGGATTCCCACTGGACTCGGTTTGCTGAAAACATTCACTTTGGCTGCTGTGTCACTCACGTGCACATTTTGTGTGTTTTCTCGGGCTGCGGTGATTTAAAACCTGTTTGTAGGATACCGGCTCGCTTGTGTGGAGGATGTGTGAGGAAAAGCCGCTGTGAGATCATAAGAACTGACAGTCAGGCTGAAATCAGACACTTTAATTCCTGAATGATGTTTATGTTTTATTCCAAAAACTCAAACCATCATTATGAACACACACATCCTCCGCAATTAATCATTTTTGAATCTTCTCCCCCATGAGCCCTGCGGCTTGTCGGGATGAGGAGGGCTGTACTCTGACGGGAGGGGCTGGCGGCGGAGCAGAGCGAGAAGATGCTGCTGGAGCTGTGGCGCGTCGCTGCTGTCTCGGCCACGGCACTCTCTCCAGCGGGCAGGGGGGCGAGAGGAGGGGTGTGGCTCGATCAGATGGCACACAGACTCCGACACCTCCTCTGGCTTCTTCGATTTCTTGAGCATGTCCTTGAAAATTGGCTCCGAACAGCGCGTCCGTCGTGATGGGGCCTTCCAGCGAGTCCATAGCAGCTTTTTCGACAAAGAGGGGGAGTGACAAGCCAGGTGGACCTCTGAACCATTGTCATCCAGGCTGCAATGCAAGACAGGCAGACAGCAGACGAGGCACACGGGTTGAGAGTGACGTCAGATGCCTTGCAGAGGGAGCACTTAGTCTCCTGAGGCAGGTCTGTCCCTCCGGCCTCTGAGATTCTGTACGTCAGTGGCACAACGTTATTGTTTGCTGTGGCCGCCTGGAACGCATACTGGTGAGCTCGGTTGGAGAGCGACACCGTCTGGTCATGCCTCCCCGGAGGCGCAGGACGCTGGTCCAACCTGGACATTTTGCTCCGAGGGGGGCACCGAGGGAATTTCCGCTCAGTAAAACCCCTCCACTCTGGTGATGGGCGCGAATGTGGAAACCGGCGCTCTCAGTCTACCAGGTCCGGCTGCAGCCTCGTTTCAGTAGGACGTCACTGCTGGGAAAATGAGGCCAGATGGGATCAGGACGGCGAGCCGGGGTGGAGCCAAAAGAACCTTCCCGCTAGATCATCCAATCTGGGCAGGGGAAGGCGAGGGACGGAAAAAAAGTCCCTTCGTGTCAGCCGCCTCCTGGATTATGCCAGGCAGCTCCGAGAGGAGGGCGCCAACAGCTGAGAGCGGTGCGGTCGCCGATGCAAAAAGGCCCGGGGGTGGGGGGGGGGGGGGGGGGGGGGCGCGGGGCGGGGCCGCGGGGGGGGGGGGGGGGGGGGGGGGGGGGGGGGGAGAGCATCTGCTCAGCCCCCCTCGTTCCGACACTAAGCTCTACAGGCAGGAGTGAGCAGCTGGGGCTGCTGCTGACGTCGCCTGTCCCGGAGGAACCATCTGATTCGCTCTGAGAGTTGGCGTTAAAAGGAAAAAAAGGGTCGATGGCGTTGTCCAGCGTGTAGTGACCCGCCACTGAGAAATATTCCTCGGCGCTTACCTTGAAACAAGACTGCTCGTCTGCTTCTCCTCAGGGAGAAGAACTCACCGGGACGGCAGGAGGTTGGCGTGGCGAGACCCCAGGCAGCCTTAACAAAGGTTGTGCCGGTCAAGATGGACAACTTCCCTTCTTCATTCTTCTGACAGTGCTATTAGCTTGCTGAAGAAAAATGGGAGCCGATTACCCGCTCTTAACGTAATTTATACGGACCGGGTGGGGCCCACACAATAGGTGGGCGTGGACAATTTTTTTCAGTGCGATGCTTTGCATGACGGGATAAACCCACCAGCAACAGCCTTAAAGGGCGAAGCCTATACGAAATAGAACTGACCACATTTCCTCACTCTGCTGCTGTCTTTACTTGCTCTACCTGTTTGTATTTGTAATTATATCTATCATAACGTTTTTTGTCTTTCCTCCTATATAAAGTACACCTGGACATGTAATTCTGTGTTTGTTTCTCCTTCCTGTCCTCCCAAACCCAGCCGGTCAAAGCAGATGGCCGCTCGTCCTGAGCTTGTTTCTGCTGAAGGTTTCTTCCTGTTAAAAGGGCTTTTTTTTCTTTCCACTGTCTTCTTTGTATTTCAGTGTTTCCCCTACCATTATACAGGCGGGGTGGGGCAACAGAACTGAGCACCCCACCTACCAAACTGAACTTACTTCTCCCACCCCCACCCGGCACTGACATCACTAAGCTAGCAGCACAAAATACAGGCTCGCTAGCTAAAAAGCTAAAGGCAGCACTCACATTGTCTCTTCCCTCATGTTGAACGCTCCCGTTCAAAACTGTTAGTACAAGCTGCGCTCAGACATGTCTCAGTCCCCCCATCAGCAAAAATCATGGATGAGATGAGCACCCCACCATGGCAAGCTAACTAGGGGAAACACTGTATTTGTAACTCAGTGTTTTTATAAAACAATTTTTTTTCCTCATTTCACTTTAATAATCAGATGTATGGGCAGCACGGTGGCGCAACTGGTAGAGCTGCTGCCTCTCAGCGAGCAGGTCCTTGGTTCAAACCCCGGTTCAGGGGCCTTTCTGAGTGGAGTTTGCATGTTCTCTCCGTGCATGCATGGGTTTTCTCCGGGTACTCCGGTTTCCTCCCACAGTCCAAAAACATGCATGTTAGGCTGATTGGTAACTCTAAATTGTCCCTAGGTGTGAATGAGAGAGTGAATGGTTGTTTGTCTCGTTTGTCTCTATGTGGCCCTGTGATGGACTTGCGACCCGTCCAGGGTGTACCCCGCCCCTCGCACAGTGATTGCTGGACATGGGCACCAGCGACCCCCGTGACCCAAAATGGAATAAGCGGGTAAAGAAAATGGATGGATGGATGAATCAGATGTATTTTTTATAGAAATATTGCTTTTGATGAAATTAAAAATCTAATTAAATTTCAGGCTGTAAGTTAACACAATAGACTGAATATCAATAAGGACAAATAGTTTATGTGGCAGAGTTCCAGAAGACTTGGTGATAAAACCTAAATTACTGAAAATATGTGAATTTAACTATGAAGGCAAAGCATATGTGGTAGAACTAACCAAAGCCTCCTACCCAGTTCAATCCAAAACTATCACTCCTACCTGAGCCTCGAAAAGATTTTTGCTGTAGAGGTTCCTTTCCAATATAACAGATTCCAGCAGGTTCTCCTGCTGGCTGAGTTTACCCTCTGTCTCTGTGACTTTCTTTCTCCAATCAGAAATCTCTATCTCTCTGACTTCAACATCACTGACTTTCTGTTGCACCTATGGAATGAAGAAAACTCTGTTAGGTTGTATATGATGAGAATATGTGGGGATATTTAGCATAATAATTTAAATTGCCTTCTGCATGAGGCTGCTAGTGTGGTTGATGTGACGGTCTCGGTCTTTTTCCAGCTGCTGAATGATCTTGCGCTGCTTGTTGGCCTCCTGGCAGTAGCCACTGATCTCATGTTCCAAGGCCCTCTTGTCCTGCTCCAGCAGTTTCACAAGATTCTGCTGTTTTTCAGTCGCCTGTACAGCTTTTGTCATATTCTGCGTTTGGGAAACAATACAATTCTTCATCATTCAAACAGATGGAACAACAAGATAATATATGGTATCTCTAGTGTTTAAACTGCAAACATGACCACATTATGCCAAGAGACTCAATAAACTCATCAAAAGAGTTGGCTCAGTTCTGGGAGTGGAACTACAGACTCTGACAGAGGTGTCTGAGCAGAGGATGCTGAGGAAACTGCTCCAGAACAACACGCCACACCCCTGCATGCCACACTGGACTCTTTTTTTTCCTTTCCTCCCCTGTCCTGTCCGGCATTGTGGCACTCAAAATTATTGTCTGAGTGTCAAGGTTAAGCCCAACAGATTTATTTTCACAAGAGCATTATGGCTGGCCTTAATGCTTCACTTGATATATACAATAAATTTTATTAGAATTTGCTTTGGGTTGTTTCAAATGTAATGGGCACAGGGACGGAAAACAAAGAAGAAAACAAAGCACAAAAGTGGGAGAAGGGTTAAAAGGTAAAGAAGGAGATAGGAGTAGAAGAGAGAGAGAGGTATAAAGAGAACACAAATCAACATCAACAAAAAAGGTTGAATCATGTCATCTGGACTTCGTTTTTTTGTTAAAAAGAAACGTTTCGCCCCTCATCCAAGAGGCTTCGTCAGTCTGAGGCCTAGCCATCTGGTATTACCCAGAAGCCACCCTGACTCTTGTGTTTCAAGCCTGCCTCAGATACCCCTGAAGTCTGGCCTTTTCACTAATGGTTTCAAAAACACAAAGTTTGTTTTCTCAGTCATCCAGGTATATAACAACAAAAAAGGTTGAATCATGTCATCTGGACTTCGTTTTTTTGTTAAAAAGAAACGTTTTGCCCCTCATCCAAGAGGCTTCGTCAGTCTGAGGCCTAGCCATCTGGTATTACCCAGAAGCCACCCTGACTCTTGTGTTTCAAGCCTGCCTCAGATACCCCTGAAGTCT